TAAATAAAATCTTTAAAAAAAAAAGACCCAATTGAAGGACCAAATGAAGATGTCTGGAATCTATTGAAAGAAAGAAATAAAAATATTCTTGGAAAGCAAACTAGAAGGAGGCATACAGAAGACAGGGATAAGGGGTGGAAGGAGCATCAAGGATTTTCACATCTCGATATGTAAACCTCAGGGTTGTTTGAAACTGTCACCAAGAGAATGTATTCAAATATGTATTGGATAATTAAGAAAAATATTATTAGGGGGCGCCTGGGTGGATCAGTCATTAAGCCTCTGCCTTCAGCTCAGGTCATGATCCCAGGGTCCTGGGATCGAGCCTCGCATCGGGCTCCCTGCTCGGTGGGAAGCCTGCTTCTCCCTCTCCCACTCCCCCTGCTTGTGTTCCCTCTCTCGCTGTATCTCTCTCTGTCAAATAAATAAGTAAAATCTTTTAAAAAAAAAAAAGGAAAAATATTATTAGGAATATTAGAATCTGACCCTCCAGAGGCATGCCATTTTCTACAGCAAGGGCTAGATAGAATACTTGAATATACTTTATTTTCTTGGTTCTTTTTTTTTTTTTAAAGATTTTATTTATTTATTTGAGAGAGAGAGAGAATGAGAGACAGAGAGCATGAGAGGGAGGAGGGTCAGAGGGAGAAGCAGACTCCCCGCCGAGCAGGGAGCCCGATGTGGGACTCGATCCCGGGACTCCAGGATCATGACCTGAGCTGAAGGCAGTCGCCCAACCAACTGAGCCACCCAGGTGCCCCTATTTTCTTGGTTCTTAATCAAGGCCTGTCCAAGGACATTAGCCATAGTCTGGAGACATTTTTGTCACAACTGGGGTAGGCGAAAGTGGTGCTACTAACATCAGGGTAGAGGCAAGGGGTGCTGCTAAATGTCCTACAATGCATAGGATAGTCCCCACATCAAAGAATTACACGGTCCAAAATGTCAATAGCGTTGAGGTAGAGAAATTCTTGTCTGTCTGAACTGGGCTCGCACTGGTGGTTCTCAGACATTTCAGAGCTGTATCACATTATCTGTTTGCTTGGTTCCACAATATCTCTCATGTCTCATAAAAGACATGTATGTTTATTTCAAATTTAAAATGAATTTAGTTTTTTATTATGTTCAGTTAACCACTGTATAGTACATAATTAGCCCTCAATACAGTGTTCAGCGATTCATTAGTTAAGTATAAAACCCAGTGCTCATCACAGCACGTGCCCTCCTCAATACGCATCACCCTGTTACTCCCTCCCCCCACCATCCTCCCCTCTGAAACCCCCAGACTGTTTCTCGGGGTCCATAGTCTCTCATGGTTCATCTTCCTCTCTGATTTCTCCCCCTTTGGATTTCCCTCCGTTCCCCTACATTCCTCCATGCTATTGCTCATGTTATTCAGCCATCAGAAATGATGAATACCCACCATTTGCATCGACATGGATGGAACTGGAGGGGATTATGTTAAACGAAGTAAGTCAAACAGACAAAGACAATTATATGGTTTCACGCAAATTTAACATGAACTTAAATTCAGTTTGAACTACAAGTAATAAATTGTACTCCCTTTTAGACAACTGATAATAAGTGAGGTAAGTGAGTAAGTGGGTTTGTTTTGTTTATTTTTCAAAACCGGAAGGGAGTCCATGCTGTAAACTGTTCCAGAGTGTGATTAGCGGGAGAGCCACGGTCTGGTCTGTCGTCACAGGCATCAGGAGAGGGTGGCCTGGGACAGAGCTGGGAAGAGAGGGGAGATGCTTGCTGCCAGGTGACACGGTGATTCTGCCAGATGTCTCCTCAGCCCATCCAGAGTGAACTGTAGGGTCACTGATCTCTCTCAAGAGCCACACAAGTTCCAGACAGCTTCCTCTGGGCTGGAATAAGCTAGCAACTTCAAACAGACACATCTATCTGTGTCACTGTCATGGATTCAATTAGCAGCTTGGAAAACCAGAGGTACTGCCTAGCAACAGCATCCTTCTCTCTCCTCACCTTCCACATCCCCTGGGTTGTGGGTTGCCCTTTAGCGACCTTCCTGAAGAGGCAGTTTGGCATAGTGGTTAAGGGCACAGACTCCAGGAAGCGGGACACCTGGGTCCTGAGTCCTGGCTCTACAACCTTAGCCGTGATACCTAAGCTTCGGCATATACTTGGTTTTCTCACCTATAAAATTGAGATAATATTAGTACCTCACACAGTCTTGGTGGGGATTTAATAAGTAATATATGGCTGGTGCCCAGAGCATAACAACAACAACAAAAAATGTTAGCTCTTATTTTTCCCTACCTCTTATTCCCTCTTCACGGTGTCCTTTTAACCAGATTTCACAACACAAAATGTTGGTTCATTACCAACCCCCCACCGCAATATATAGATAATCCCTGTCCTCTCTCACTTTACTCTCCTGCAAAGAATAACATAATTTGTCTTCCAAGCTCAAAAAAGTCTGGTATTCAGCAGCTTTTTCCTATATGGGAATAGCCCAGACATTCCAGAAACCAAGAAGTATGATGCTCAGTTCCTTAACACTATATCTTGAAGTTTTTCTTTAACGAACAATTATTCTACCTAGTTAATTATGATGTTTCTTTGGAGTTTTAATTAAAGGTGTCCCTTGATCTGCAGAGACTAACATGCTGTCAGCCATTAGTAAGTGAAATAATTAATCTTGCTTTCTAGATTGCCATCGTGGGTAGGCTGGATAAGCAGGATTTCCCAGCAAATTTTCAGTTAAATCTGAAAAACTAAAATAAACAGTGAAACTGGACATAGTGCTACTGACTTTTGTTGTGATGATGAATTCAGCAAATTTGCCTTAAAGACACTCCTTGAGCAGAAAGGAGGCTAAGGAGCTGAAATCTCAGGCCCTTTCTAAATGAAATAAAACAAACTAGCTGCCCTCTCTTCTTCCATCTTTTTTTCCTAAACTCGAATTATTTGAGCCTCTTTTTCTAGAATTATTCCATGTCCCACCTGAGCTGCACCATTATTTACTTTACTTTTCCCCATAAATCAGCCCACTTTTTAAACTGTATGTACATTGGTTTAGGGGTGCCTGGGTGGCTCAGTTTGTTAAGTATCTGACTCTTGATTTTGGCTCAGGTCATGATCTCAGGGTCATGAGATTGAGCCCCGCATCAGATTCCATGCTCAACACAGAGCCTGCTTAAGATTCTCTTTCCCCCTCTCCTTCTGCCTCTCTCTCTCTTCTTTCTCTCCCTCTCTAAAAAGCCATATGTACATTTGTTTAAAAAGGAAAGCTATGTAAAGGGAAAACTTATTAATTTCCAAATAGAGGGTAAATGTAAAAAATAAATACCATGGAAATTAAACTTTGTATGTTTAAAATAGAGAAACATAATGATGCATCTTATTAATAATGTATGAAAAACTATGTGCTAGTTCATTCAGTTCAATTCTCTCAGTGACTCTGAAAAGGATGGCGGAGACCCAGGAGTGGAGCGCATTGCCCAGGGTCCTAGGTGGGGTGGGCAGGGCAGTTCCCTGTGAGGCGAGAGCCCAGCACTGCAGGACAGAGTCCCCGGTTCACTTTCTCCAGGCCACCCTTCCTGAGAACTCCCCTCAAATCCTGTGCCAGATGCCCCAGGATAGACAACAATGATTCAGGTTTCCACCAAGACTTTCAGGTTTTCCAGGGCAAAAGGAAAAATTAATATTTGTGTCTGGCAAAATACAGCTGTGTTACAATGATCAGCTTCCCTGTAAGTCTAGCAGATCCAGATTTTTCAGATCATGCTGGTTAGTGGATGGGAGAGGCAAATAAGAGGCTGAGCAGGACAGGGATCTTACTGACAGGGAGGAGGTCTGGGGCAATGTGGGAGAGTGGGGGAGCAGGGGAGGAAGGCGGGGCCAAGCAGCTGCCCTCCAGCAGGAGAGATGGGGGTGGGCAGAAACTGGTACTGCCACCTAGGGAAGATTTTGAGGAAGGGACAGAAATATTTGGGGTACTTTATGAATTTTTTCCATGTGATTTGTGATGTCATTCCTGTTCTTCCATGTCTGGTTGTGTATGCTTTTTTCCTCATACACTAAAAACAATGACAATACAATTTCAAGTGTTTCTCCATCAAGCACCTGAGATCATCTCACGGCCCTCAGTAGCACAGGCACCGTGGGAAACTGCCCCCCACACACCTGCCCGCCTCTGGGCTTTCATTGCACCTCCAGCATGATGACTTAGAAATTCACATTTCCAGGGCACCTGGGTGGCTCAGTTGGTTAAGCAACTGCCTTCGGCTCAGGTCATGATCCTGGAGTCCCGGGATTGAGTCCCGCATTGGGCTCCCTGCTCGGCGGGGAGTCTGCTTCTCCCTCTGACCCTCCCCCCTCTCATGTGCTCTCTCTCATTCTCTCTCTCTGAAATAGATAAATAAAATCTTTAAAAAAAAAAAAACTCATTAAGACAACAAACAACCCGACACCTGGGTGGCTCAGTCAGTTAAGCGTCTGCCTTCGGCTCGGGTCATGATCCTGGAGTCCCAGGATCGAGTCCCGCATCAGGCTCCCTGCTCGGCGGGGAGTCTGCTTCTCCCTCTGCCCCTCCCCCCTCTCATGTGCTCTCTCTCATTCTCTCTCTCTGAAATAAATAAATAAAATCTTTAAAAAAAAAAAAGAAATTCACATTTCCAGTCAAACTTTCCCCAGAGCTCCAACTACCCACCGGAGACCACCGTTCAGATACCTAATGCCTGTATTTCTGTCCTTCGTACGGTACAGAGGTTTGTATCCCCATTCCCTTCAGAGGTCAGATCTCGGCTCCAGTACACCTCCTCAGAGAAGCCTTCCTGGGCCACCCCACAAAGCGAGCATGCCTCCCCCAGCGACAGCACCCCGCCAATTACAAGACCACCACACCAACACAGTCCCTCATTTCCTTCATAGCGTACATCACAATCTATACATTTTTATCTGTTATGCTGTTTGCTTGTTTGTTTTATAGCTTCATCTAATAAACTCCACATGGACAGGGATTCTGTCTTCTTTACTGAAGAGGTCCTTGCCCAATATTTGTGGACTGAATGAGTGGAATCTGTGATGACTGACAATAAATGATTCGGTGAGGAGAGTATCTTCAGGCTTGTATCACCATTGATAAGGACATACACTGATGAATAAAATTTTACAGCATTTTTCAGTTTTAAGAGCAAATTCTTCCAGGTTATTGCTATGGTCTGAATGTTTGCGTCCCTCCAAAATTCATATGTTGAAATCCTAATCCCCAAAAGTGATGGTATCTGTGGGTGGGGCCTTTATGAGGTGCTCAAGTCATGAAGGTGGAGCCCTCATGAATGGGACTAATGCTGTATAAAAAGGCTCCAGAGAGATCCCTGGCTCCTTCCACCATGTGAGGACACAGTCAGAGGCGCTGGCTCTGAACCAGGAAGATGTGATCATGCTGGCTCCTTAATCTTGGACTTCCCAGCCTCCAGAACTGTGAGCAATAAACGTCTGTTGTTTAGACGTCATAACAGCCCCAACAGACTGACGGTTAACACTTTTTTTTCCACCAGAACCTATCAAGGTAGATACTATTTTTTATTCCCATTGTGTCTCTAAGGAAACACAAGTTAAATAGGTAAATATAACTGGAGGCGTCCTGGGTGAGAGACCTGAAGAGCTGTCAGGAGTGCGGACAATGCCAAGTGAGCAAGCCTGTTGTTCTTCTTAGGGTTACCAATCTCCTGGGTTTTGCCAGGACTGTTCTGGTTTTAGTACTGAAAATCCTGCATCCTGAGAAAACTAAGACAGTGGGTTGCCCTATCTTACCCAGAAAACTGTAAATAAGACCTTAGATACTTCATGCAATCAGATCCCTGGCTGTGTAAAATGTAAAGACTAAAACATGAGGGACGGGAGGGTGGATAGGGTTTAGAACCTACCGGTGTGAAGTCACATAGGAGTTGATGCACCCACCCAACTGAACCTCAAAGAAATACTGGGAGCGGAAGGCACTAACCCACCCGAAGAGGAGCAAACACTTAGAGATACCATCTGTGCTCTGCTCCTACCCTGAAAGGTAAAGGTGGTAACTAGGTCAGCCCGGTTATCAAGCCTCAGGCTTTCGGACTGAAGCCGATCCACCAAAAGTCCAAAAGGTATTCTGGGCAGTAGTTAGGCCATCCGCTACAGGCACCCTGGCCAGGAAAAACTGGCTTATTGACCCAGAAGGGAAAATTCTTCCTCTTTCAATACAATGCAACTTGACACCTCTTTCAGTACATTGGAAGTCTTGAGTTAATCATTCTGGTAACGTAGTCATAATAGTGTGTGTGTGTGTGTGTGTGTGTTTTACAGGGAGTAAGCATTGCATGGGTGGCATTGTCTGCTCATCTAGGTAGAGGCTGGAGTGTTCGTTCATGCTATTGGGCAATTGAAGTGTAGCGACTAAGTAGCACATTTTGAAAGAGGCATTTAAAAAAAAATCCACCACTAGATGATTCAGACTTAATTATCTTGTCTTTTCAGCAGCTGAGTTCAAGGCTCAAGCGGAGAACACGTAGCTTCAGAGGCAGAAGGAATCGAAGGTGCTCCCCAGCTTTGGACGCTTCCTCTGCTTGAGGTAAGAATCGTGAACAAACTTCTGGTCTCTGCCAGCGCAAAATCTCCCAGTGGGGACTGCCCCCTCTCTGGTGCTGTCCCAGCTCAGTCAGCCGTCAGGTAGCCTGAGTCTTTATAGTCTGCCTAGGTTTTTCTGTTTTGTTTTTTTGTCTTTTATGTCACTCATGCCCACCGAGAAGACAATGAGCAGGCCTAAGAAAGAAAAGAGAGTTGGTGTGGATGAGTGATTGACATTTGCATCATTTTGGCAATGTTAAGACAGCCACTCAATCTTCTGGACTTATTTTTTTTTTTTTAAGATTTTATTTGTTTGACAGAGAGAGACACAGCGAGAGAGGGAACACAAGCAGGGGGAGTGGGAGAGGGAGAAGCAGGCTTCCCGCTGAGCAGGGAGCCCGATGTGGGGCTCAATCCCAGGACCCTGGGATCATGACCTGAGCTGAAGGCAGACGCTTAAGGACTGAGCCACCCAGGCGCCCCTGGACTTATTTTTGCCTGCATTTCAGGGTGGATCCCGGATCAGTGGCAGAAAAGGCTAACTTGTCTCTAACTTGAACCAGTGTGGATTTAGGAAGAAGGGACCGCTGTGATCTCTGTGCTTTGGGGCCAGGTCTTAAACCACATCAGGTGACCTACATCCTACCCTGCCGGAGCAAAGGGCCCTCCCACTTGCCGGAATTGTTTAACCTGTTTGTGTTAAGTATGGAGTTTGAGGAAGACTAGGTGTAAATTTTCAATGCCCTTGTAATTTGAGATCTTGGTAAAAATCAGATATGTGAGCTGAATCCCTTGAAATAGCCCATATTCTGCCACAGTTCTGCCCATATTCTATACCTGTTGATTTAGATGCCTTATACCCATTTTGTCTTAACCATTAGGTTGGAATATTCTGGCAATCCAGGCTTCTTTAAGCCAATTGGACTTAATTTTTCAACTTTTGCCCCTGTTTTAAAGGCTGCATTTCATTCATTTATCACCTCCTTGAACTGATTTTCCCAAAGTCTGTCAGAGTTCCCCTCTGAGAATACCAGTGGCAAGTCTACCTGTCTCAGAAATTTCCTAAGTTGTACTAGAGTTTTCTTTTTTTTTTTTTAAGATTTTATTTATTGAGAGAGAGAGAGAGAGCACAAGCAGGGAGAACAGCAGAGGCAGAGGGAGGGAGAAGCAGAGAGCCTGATGTGGGGCTCAATCCCAGGACCCTGGGATCATGACCTGAGCTGAAGGCAGATGCTCAACGACTGAGCCACCCAGGCACCCCTGGTAAGAAATAAGAGTTTTCTCATTTCTGCTCATCAGAATGGCTCAGGCAAGGGCCACCTAATATATTTATGTTTTTATTTATGAAGTTTTTATTTTAATTCTGGTTAGTTAACCTACAGTGTAATATTAGTTTCAGGTGTACAATATAGTGATTCAACACTTCCATACAACACCCAGTGCTCATCAGGACAAGGGCCCTCCTTATTCCCCATCACCTGTTTCACATATCCCCCCCGCCCCACCTCCTCTGGTAACCATCAGTTTGTTCTCCATAGTTAAGAGTCTGTTTCTTGGTTTGCCTCTCTTTTTTCCTTTGCTCATTTGTTTTGTTTCTTAAATTCCACATATGAGTGAAATCATATGGTATTTGTCTTTCTCTGACTGACTTATTTCACTTAGCGTAATACTCTCTAGCTCCATCCATGTTGTTGCAAATGGCAAGATTTCATTCTTTTTTATGGCCAAATGAAATTTCATTGAGTGTGTGTGTGTGTGTGTGTGTGTGTATTACACTTCTTTATCCATTTATATGTCAATGGATACTCATCTGTTTCTATAGTTTGGCTATTGTAAATAATGCTGCTATAAATATAGGGGTACATGTATCCCTTTGAATTAGTGTTTTTGTATTTTGGGGGTAAATACCCAGTAGTGCAATTACTGAATCATATGGTTATTCTATTTTTTAAACTACTTGAGGAACCTCTATACCATTTTCCACAGTGGCTGCACCAGTTTGCATTCCCACCAACAGTGCACGAGAGTTCCTTTTTCTCCACACCCCTTGCCAACACTTGTTGTTTCTTGTGTCATTGTTTAGCCATTCTGACAGGTGTGAGGTAATATCTCACTGTACTTTTGATTTGCATTTCCCCAGTGATAAGTTATATTGAACATCTTTTCATGTGTCTCTTGGGCATCTGGATGTCTTCTTTTGAGAAATGTCTGTTCATGTTTTCTGCCTGTTTTTTAATTGGATTATTGTAAGGTTTTGGGGTGTTGAGTTGTATAAGTTCTTTACATATTTTAGATACTAATCCTTTATCAGATATGTCATTTGCAAATATCTTCTTCCATTCCATAGGTTGCCTTTTAGGTTTTTTGATTGTTTCCTTCATAGTGCAGAAGCTTTTTATTTTGATGAAGTCCCAATAATTTATTTTTGCTTTTGTTTCCCTTGCCTCAAGAGACATATCTAGAAAAATGTTGTTATGGTAGAGCCATCTAATTTAGAAATGTTATTCTGTCCATTTATTGGTATGGAAATGTAATGACTTCTGAGGCTTTGAATCATGGAAAGAAACAATTCCTTAGACGCAACAAAATAGGTAACTTGTTGGCAGGGTTTTTAAGTCATCTTGGATCCCTTCTTTTAGCAGGCAACTCCTTCTGCCCTTTCTTGTCAGCCAAATTACTTAACCTTTAAGGACTCAGCTCCTTACTTGACAAGGTTCCTTCCCTCCTCTGCCCATAAATTATCATCCTAACAAACAATTCAACTGAAAATTACATACAATCCTTTTATAGCCCCATAATTTCATTCACTCATAAAATTTCTAGAGGAAAAATATGTTTTTCCATGTGAAATTTTGAGTTCCTGGATCTCCATCAGTGTAAACCATTTCAGAAACTTCCTTTACCCGAGAAGGGAAAATAGATTTTTGCTGCTGGAAGAGCATTTAAAATTCCATCTGTACGCAAGAAAATATGATAGGATTTGCACTTTGACACTTGAAAATATCCAGATGTTTAGATTTTTTTTTCCACATAGAAGATGGCATCAAGCATCTCCTAAAGTTCCCAGATGAAAATGAAAAATCTAGCACTTATCAAGTAATTCAATTCATAAACACTAGAATTGGGAACCAGAAGAGCAAGGTGTGGTTCCCAGGTGCCTGACTTACCATGGTCTCAGACAAGTCATTCAGACTCTCCAAGTCTCTGTGTTCACGTGTCTGGGAGGGAGGTAGGATTATAGCAACATCCACCTCCAAGGATGGTTGTGAGTTCTGTAAATGGTAAAAAAAAAAAAAATATATATATATATATATATATATATATATAAACATATATAAACAAACACAAATTCATTATTTTAGTTGTTACTCCATTAACAAGTAATAGCTCTGATTTGGTTTATTATGCTTTTTCACTGTAGAAACAGAGTTATTTATATGATGGTTTAGTTTTCCCCTTTTTTTTTCACACTTTCCTAGAACATTTCTTAGTTAACCAGAATCTTTTTTTTTTTAAGATTTTATTTATTTATTTGAGAGAGAGACAATGAGAGAGAGGACATGAGAGGGGGGAGGGCCAGAAGGAGAAGCGGACTCCCTGCTGAGCAGGAAGCCTGATGCGGGACTCGATCCAGGGACTCCAGGATCATGACCTGAGCCGAAGGCAGTCGCTTAACCAACTGAGCCACCCAGGTGCCCCTAACCAGAATCTTATAAGCCAGTCAGTTGGTCAGGTAGCAAATACTTCTTGAGGTCCTAACTACATGCCAGGCAGAGAGATCATTTCAACCTTAATTTGGATACAGTCTAATGTGTATAGACTTTTTGATCTAATATTTTTTCCCATTGCATTGCACTGTTATGAAAATGTTTTCCTCTTTTTAAAAAAAGCCTTCTCATGCCTGCCTTGGCATGAGACATTCATTTACAATTCTTTTCCCACAGCAATTCAGTGTGACTGCACATCAGTATGGCCTCACCGTTTGTTAAAATGTGGACGTACTTTTATACCAGTTGGTGAATAGCAACTAATCTCAGCCCCAGGAGTGTTGCCCTGACTCCCATAGTTTCATCCATCTCTTCCTATCCCCCTCTCCAGGAACCCTTGACCACCACCCCCAACCCAGGACAACAAGGATCAAGGAGAGCCTAGCACAGATGGCAACTGGGCCTCGCTTCTGCATCCATTCTAACTGAATATAAGATATTAATATCACCCTGCCCCTCGCTGCTTGTCCCACTCCTCACATTTCCTCCAACCCTGAGATCACTTGCTGCCTGACCAGAGACGGGTCTCCTACACAAGTCCTGCCCCCTTGGCTCTTATTGTCATTGCTCTACGCTTCCCTTGGTGTCCTCTGCACCCAACCATTCCCAAGCCACCCCTCCATAGCCCTGCCCCCAGCACTGCTGTCCAGGTTCTTTTGTACATTGTCCAGTATAACCCAAACCAACTCTGTAGGGTTGAAACATCATACTGAAGGTTAAGACCATAGCAGTGTTAAGATATTAAAATGTCTCCATTTCTTCAATCTCCAAGTCTTCAATCACTACTCTGAGTCTCCCACCCCACCCCCAGTACCCCAGCCACACTGGCCAGTCCTCCCAAGACTTCTCCTGTCCCCATGATCCAGTACCTAACCTCCCCAACCCTGTTCCTGGACTGTGGACAACATCTGTTCTAGTGGGTGCATGCACTCCACCCGTGTACAAATGCTTTGTTAATCACCTCTGCAAAGAACTGTAATATAATGCAGAGTGAGGTAAGGGTTCTTCCTTCATTTACAATTCATTCTACCAATAGTCTTGGTTTTGGCTCAGACCATGATCTCGGGGTCATAGGATCGAGCCCCGTGTCAGGCTCCATGCTCGCTCGCTCTCTCTTGCTAAAATAAATAAATAAGTAAAATCTAAAAATAAAAAAGTGCTAGCCCAAGGGGTGAGTGGGACAGCCCTGGCTCTACCTACCAAGCTGGACACACTGGTATGGGATTTTCCTAAAACATTTTCTGCTTGCCCCACTTTGTGCCAGAAGGGGTGTATCTCCAAAGGGCACCTTCTCCCATTCCATACAAAAGGCCAAGATAGGCTAGCAACAGCCCTGCATGGATACTCCTCTTCCTGGTCAAACTGTTCTCTTCCTCTCAAGTAAATTCTCTGGAACACACTGTCGTCTACATCTATGGCCTTATCCACAAAGCCCACACAATCCCCTTTATCAAACCTCTTTCTTTTCTTGGCCAAGCACCGCATACATACCTCTTGCAATGATCTTTTCCTTCATCCAGACTGTGCCTGAATCCCCGCCCTTCTCTGAATCCTTCCCTGCCCTACCTGGCCTGACCCCACCCTTTGCATGGCTCCCACAACTTCCTCTTCCTTGACCACCCCCACAAATGCTTCCCTGATTTGTTTCATGTTTGTATGTTAACTCAGTGGGTATCTGTCACCTGTGGGTCTTTGGCACATATGAACACAAGGGTAGCTCACCCAGATTGTAAACTGCCAGAACTAGAAACAAGGCCTGTGAATGTATTACTCGCTCAGCTGTCATTAAAAGAAAGCCATGTCACTGTTGCTATTGGTAACCTGTGCTTCATTCATCAAGAAAGTGCGCTGGGGGGTACCTGGGTGGCTCAGTCAGTTAAGTATCAAACTTTTGATCTCAGCTCAGGTCTCAATCTCAGGGTCGTGAGTTCAAGCCCCACACTGGGCTCCATATTGGGTGAGGAGCCTACTAAGAGAGAGAGAGAGAAAGAAAGAAAGAAAGAAAGGAAGGAAGGAAGGAAGGAAGGAAGGAAGGAAGGAAGAAAGAAAGAAAGAAAGAAAGAAAGAAAGAAAGAAAGAAAGAAAGAAAGAAAGAAAGGAAAGAAAGGAAAGAAAGGAAAGAAAAGAAAGAGAGGTGCCTGGGTGGCTCAGTCGTCAAGTGTCTGCCTTCGGCTCAGGTCATGGTCCCAGGGTCCCGGGATCGAGCCCCGCATCAGGCTCCCTGCTCCATGGGAAGCCTGTTTCTCCCTCTCCCACTCCCCCTGCTTGTGTTCCCTCTCTCGCTGTGTCTCTCTCTGTCAAATAAATAAATAAAATTTTTAAAAATAAAAAATAAAAAATAAAATATTTTTAAAAAAGAAAGAAGAAAGAGGGAGGGAGGAAAAGAAAAGAAAATGGGCTGGCATTAATTCGTTGAGTCCATTAATTACACAAGCATACACTGAATATTTAATATATGCCAAGCACTAGCAATATAAACAGCAAAAAGGATGTGGTCCCTCTCCTTGGAGATATTTATTTCAGATTTTGTATGTGTGTATCTACTGTGTGCCAGGCATTATACTAGATTCTGGGGTGAGCCTGGCATGTGTGTTAAGGAGGGAAGTCTTTGAGGTGGTAGAAGTGTAGAGCAGGGCAGGGTCTTACAGCTGGGCTGTGAGCTTAAACTCTGTCCTACGGGCAAAGGGGAGTCATTAAGTGTCTCTAAGCAGATGAGTGATTGTCTCACATTCTCTGAAGCCACCTTTCTAAACTACTGACTTGTGTTCTAAAACTTTCAAAAATTTGGCATCCCCACCCCCTTACCCTTCCCAAGGCATATCACAAGTGTGGTATTTACGGTAAGGCGCTTGTGTTACATTGCACTGCATCGTATTGTAATGAGTCATAATCACCTGTGTGCGTGTCTGACTCACCCACTGGTCTGTGAGAAGCAGAAGTCAAGGACACACAGGTCATCTCTGCATCCTCAGCACCTAGCATATTTCTGGTGTGTTCAATAAATGATTACTGGGTAGGTGGGTGGATTGATGGTTGGATGGATGGATGGATATATGAACAGACGGGTGGATAGAGTGAGTTCTGAAAGTGAGCAATGAAACAAGAAATCATAGAAAAGCTGGATGGAATTGACCAAAGAAAAGTCAAAAATAATAAAGGAACCATAAATGTTGGTTAATTGCAGATGCGTACAAAGGCAGTCCAAGTCCTCTGGGGATGTTTCTTCCTGTGGGATCTCTACATCTCATCTGCCCAGACCGTTTACCCTGGAATCAAGGCCAGGGTTACTCAGCGGGCTCTGGACTATGGTGAGTGGAATGCTTCCAGAAGCCAGGCTACAGGTGGAGATTATGACCCAAGCTCATATTGGACTGTTCCATGACTGAGGCAAGCTCTCCTGTGGGATGATCCAGCCCCTTATGTGGAGGCTGCTAAGATGGCTGGGAAGGAAGTGTTTCTAAAAAATAATGACGTTGATGGTAGGCCTGTCCAAACACGGCCACAGATATTCATTCTCTCCCTGACCCCTGCCACCTGTCCCCCCCCCCCCTTGCACCTACAACAAACACCTCTGCTCTAAAGGAGGATACGTCATAGGCTAGAGGGGAGGAGATGTGAGAGTAAAAGTAACACCTTAGAACTTCAGAAAGGGCTTAACTCCAAAAGGAACTTAGAGTCCCCTAAAATTGTGTGCCAAATTTAATGTAGATGATGATTGTGCATTTTTCTTGAGAGGCTCCATACATCCATTAGATGCAAAAAGGAGCCTGAGACATTGAAAGATTAAGAAAAACTCCTTTAGAGGTGTTTATAAACACAGGGAGAGAAAAATGTGGAGCAGAGCTGGGGTGAGGGCAGATTGCATATGGGAAAGATACTGCAAAATCAAAGTGTGTGGGCCTAGTTCTCTCCTGTAAATCTTGGCCCAAGATTACAGAATACAGGCAGATAGATTCACTCCAATCCCTTCTTAACTAAAGCAATCAACTCAAGTACTGCTAGTCTAACTCAGAAATACCTAAGTGTGACCAGGAAACGCCTCACCTGCTACACCAAAAAAGAAAAACAGGAAGGATGGAGGGAAAGGGAGGGATGGAGGAAGGGAAGACTGAGTTTTGGGCAACTCTTTGTCCTTCCCCCAGTTCCTCTTGTGGTACAGGGAATCTAAAGTTGATCCATCTTGCACAATTGTCATATGAGCTGGCTATAATGAGAAATACATACCAGGAATGCACATGTGTATCCACATGTATATTTGCATGTGTGTGTATCTTGTTACTATATTGATACGCTTATATGCACAGAAATACATATCAGAAATAGACATCTTCTAACAGTATTAAAGTTGTGAGAATAGCTTATTCCACCCTCAAGATCAGAGCAATTTAAAGAACAGATCTAGTCAGTTCACATGGGTATGAATCTCAGTTCTGCCCCTTTCCTCAATATGTAGGGTGGGGCCAGTGGGTTTTCTCATGTGGAAAACGGGGTGAGGAGAATGACAATAATGTGCCCCGCCTGTCGTGATGTGAGGACCAGATGGAATCATCTGTACAGATATGGCATGGGGTGGACACACTATAAAGTCAGAACCATGCCTTGACTGAGCATCTACCATGGCTACGCTCTTTGATATGTGCCTATGGGCTCTGGGTTGATTTAATTCCCACAACAACCCTACAAAGAAGGGATAGTCATTTTACAGAGGAGGAACCTGAGTCTCAGAGGGGCTGGACTGAATTTGCCACATCACACACCAGTAAGGGGGCGAGGCAAGATCGGAGTTCAGGTCTGCTCTGCCTGATTTCTGTTCTCTGCTCCCCGTTCCTCCAAAGCCTCGCTGATGACACGCAGTAGCTGTGAGCTCTCGGGCAAGTCTGGGAATCTCTCTGAGCCTCAACTGCCTCCTGTGTGAAATAGGAATAATAATATATATGTCACTGGGTTGCTCTGAGGATAAAAGGTTAGAATACGTGTAAAGTGTAGACAGTCCTGGCCCACACAGACACACAATTATCATTATCTCATGACAGTGTTGGGATTCGAAACTAAGCTGTCTGATAGTGCCTTTGGTTCCATCTTTATATCCTTTACATCCTATCCCTGCATCCCTGTATTATAATATTATTCATGGTATTATAGAGGATAAGATCTGCTCTGAATCTCCACAGGGATAGCGTAAGTGGAAATGAGCTTAAGCTGCAAAATAGGGAGTAAAGGCAAAGCTTCCTCCTTAAGAAGGTTAAAATGAAAAGATCATTCTTCATTACTATGTCAGTTACTTTTCTCAAGCTCTTTATGAGAAGGAGGGCTCTTTTTCTCCGTGAACTCTGAAAAATGTGTCCTGTGGTGTTACCACATAAAGACAGATTTATTCCTGAATTGCACAAAAGCGGAGCTTACTAACCTTTTTGGAGTCCTGGGTTTCTTTGAGAATCTGATGCAAATGTGGCCCCTCTCCCCTGAACAATGAGACCCAAATGCACACGCACACACATCCTACTCACAGTCTTTTACTAGGATTTCAGGAGGGTTAAGAGTGCCCAACAGTCCATGCACCTCAGGCCAAAAATTGATGAGCTTAAAGAATCTAGGGGAGGGGCGCCTGGGTGGCTCAATCCGTTGGGGTCTGCCTTTGGCTCAGGCGTAATCTTGGGGTCCTGGAATCGAGCCTCACGTCGGGCTCCCTGTTCAGTGGGGAGTATGCTTCTCCCTCTGTCCCTCCCCCTACTCATGTGCTCGCGCTCTCTCTCTCTCTCTAATAAATAGATAAAATCTTTAAAAAAAAAAAAACTAACTAAACTAAAGAATCTAGGGGAAAGGGGAGAATGTGGAATAACTTTCTAATAAGGCATGGATTCTGGAGCCAAATTGCCCAGATTTGACTATGGGGCCCCCAGTTCCTTGCCGTGTGACTTAGGTAAGAATCCATCTCTTTGAGGTTCAGTTTGTTCATCTGTAAAATGTGGATAATGATAATATTTTGTACTTCTCCTATCACAACGTCCTGTAGTAGTATCCTTTAGCCTTGGCCACATAATGAGAATCTCTCGTGCTGTTAGTCCTGGGGTCCTGGGGTCTTCATTAGCCTCTCTGAGGACCAGTGTTTTCTTCTGTGAAACAGGGAAAACAGCACCACTTTGTAGGGTTGCTGCTTTCTAAGTTTCTAAGAGCACGCCTTGCTCAGTGAACTTCACGTGTATGTCTAATGATGCCATTATCATCTTCGTCATTATCAATAAACACTCTCTTTGGTTCCTTCATAGGCGTTCTAGCCGGGGTGGAGATGATTGAGCAAATGGTTATGGAAAAAAATATCCCAGACCTAAAAGGTTCTGAATCTCTGGAATTTCTGAAGGTTGATTATGTGAACTACAATTTTTCAAAGTAAGTAAAAGAGTATTTTTAGCAGTGAAATTACTCTTTAAAACCTTAGGGTTGTGGATATGTCACCCTGTGTTCTGGTGTAACACCAGGGACCTGCAGAGTAGAAGTTAACACAGAGTTAATCTTTGGTAAGGGGCTTATCAGATGAATGACCTCAAGAAACAGGGATCATAAAGCTGACAAAGAGTGTAGGATTGGGGTCAGAACACCTGGGTCCAAGTCCTATCCCTGCTACACACTAGTTGTATGCACCTGGGGAATCTGTTCAGAGTCGCGATGTCCTTGCCTCTTCCCTAAAATGAGAATACCTTGCCCCTTGAATTCTAAGAGAAATTTTTGTCCATCCCGTTGTTGCCCCCACACCCTAACCTAGATACAGGATTCAGTCACAGTCTCAGAAACAAATCTACCCTCATCAAGTCTTTCTTTATTTTAATGAAGTTTAGTTGAGATTTTAAAAGTCATAGAAATGGGCCACAATTAAGAAGCTCAAAAGAAAGAGTAGAGGGGCGCCTGGGTGGCTCAGTCAGTTAAGCGTCTGACTCTTGATCTCCGCTCAGGTCTTGATCTCAGGGTCATGAGTTCAAGCCCCACAAAAAAAGAAAAAAAAGAAAAGAATAAGAAAGAGTAGAGGGATCCTATGGAAGCCCCACAATTTTATCTGAACCCAGCCTTTTTGTATCTCTCTGCCCTGCCGTCCTCAGTTCTGGCTTCTGTCCTCAAGGTTGTCTCATGGTCCAGTTTGGCCACAGCAGCTCAGCCATCAAATCCATATTTCAGGCCCAAGAAGGAGTTAAGAGGGCTCTTAAAAGCTGGGTTCGTCTCTTCAGTGAGGTTTTTTTTTCTGGAGCCCTGCTCTATTGGTACTCGATAATGGACAGATCTCTCTTATGACCATACTTACTATTATTAGCAAGGGAGACTGGAAAATTCATTTTCCAAGCAGACATCTTTGTCATCCTGAGCCAATTCAGGGATGTTTGGGAAAGAAGAAAGGGAAATGGATGTTCAGACAGCAGCAACCTGTCATATTTGCCAACAAAAGCCCCAAAGGCGGTATAGGGAAAGGACACCTTTGTCCATCTTGCACTAAATCTTGAAGGTAAAGCAGAGAGTCAAGATTTTATAAGGAATTATCTGTGATTCACAATTTGACCCCAAGGCTTTATCAATCCAGTGATAATTCCCTGATGCTCTAACCCTTTGGAGCAATAATTTCCCTGCTATCAAGGATACCATTCTATAAAACCATGAGTTTTGGTGGGGCTTGGGGGGTGGGTAGAAGAATGGTGATCTAGGAAGAGCTCCTAGCAAATGCTCTAGTTGTTAATAAAGACAGCCATTCAACAAGTATTTATTGAGTACCTACTAGGTACCAAGGCTTTGTTCCAGGCATGGGGGATATCGTAGTGAATGACACAGATATATTCCCCTGCCCTTAAAGTCCAATAAGAGAGATGGACATTATATATTTACAAAATGAATTATTTAATTACAATGACAATAATGTTCCAGCAGAAAAATCCGGGGTTAAACATATATTATGAAGTGTAGGTGAAGATTGCTAGTGGGAGTAGAGAAACTGGTACAGTACTTTTTGACCTGAGCTGCCCACACAGGAGCCACCTGTCACATGTGGCTACCGAGCCCTGGAAACGGGACTAGTACAACTAAGGCACTGAAGGTTTACTTATTTAATTTTTAATTAATTTTAATTTAAAAACTGGTACTCACTCAATTCAGTTTTTGAAAAGCTTTTGGGGCACCTGGGTGGCTCAGTCAGTTGGGCGTCTGCCTTTGGCTCAGGTCATGATCGCAGGTCCTGGGATTGATCCCCACGTCGGGCTCTCTGCTCAGCTGGGAGCCTGCTTCTCCCTCTCCCTCTGCCTGCAGCTCCCCCTGCTTGTGCTCTCTGTGTCAAATAAATAAATAAAATCTTAAAGAAAAGAAAAGCTTTTAAGTATGTGTGGAACAATTTGATATGGAAGTGTACTTTTTCAGTTGAAAAATTTATCCGATCTAAATATAGGACAAGTATTTCTGATGAAATTCAATGTCCAGACTGAGTCATATTATGAATGTAAAAAAAAAGACCATATTTTGAAGACTTATTTTGAAAAAGAGAAAACAAAATATCCCATCAATAATTTTTATATTGATTATATGTTGAAATCATACTATTTTAGATGTATCAGGTTGAGTAAAAAATATTAATAAAATCACTCTCACCTGTTTCCTTTCCCTTTTATAAATGTGGTCACTAGAAATTTTTAAATTATGTATGTGGCTCACGTTCTATTTCTATTGGACGGTTCCATTTCAGAAAGTTATTTACAAGGACTTTGTTTTTTTAATGCATGCTCTTTGACCTACCAATCCCACTTTTCAGCATCCTCACTAGAAAGACATACACATAAACAGCATATATGAGGATGTTCAGTGTGGCATTGTTTATAATACAGAAATAACTGGAAACGACCTAGATGTCCGGCAACAAAGAAATGATTTTCTTTAATGATGCATCCATAGCTTGAATACAAGGAATGCATTAGACCTATATGTATCAAACCGAAAATATTTCCAAGATCTGTTAAATGAACCTCTACCATCTCCTTCCCACAGTGGGACTCAGGGTGTATGACAAAGACACGTAGGAAAGGATGCAAAATAGAAGAAATAGTAAATAAGCATTTGTTATCAGCTATCACATTTATGTTTTACGTTTTTCCTAATCTTAGCTCATAACAATGCCTTTCTCCCATGCCACAGTTATACGCAGGTGATCTCATTTTGTCTTCCCAACCTGCCCATGAGTAACCCTTCCTTTGAGTGACTGAAAGAGGTTAAGTATCATACCCAAGGTTGCACAGCTAGCACAAAACTCAGCTCCAAGTCAAGTGCCCCTTGCACAATACATGAAGTGGCATAGCCTGCTGGCTAAGAACACAGTCTGAAGACAGATTGAGGAGGGCTCCAGGTCTGGTTCTACCACTTATATATGACTTCAGCCACGTTCCTTATCTTCTCATCTATGAATTGCAGATTGCAAAACCAGCAACAACCTCATGGGATTATTGTGAGGATTAAAATGATCCAATGCATGTAAAGTGCTTACCCCAGTGCCTGATAGGGAGTAATCACTCAATACATGAGCCATCTACCTATAAGGATTACATGCAGCCCACTGCTTCCTATCTACCCGTTGACAGCTCAGATAATCCTAGGGGAAATTAATACTCTAAGTTTCTAAACTAGGGAAGATACTGTCCACATAGAGGGCATCTGAGAATAGAAGGAAGGTACCCTTGCGACTGTCCCAGTGATGGGGGAGGGGCACTGCTGGCATTTAGTTGGCACACACACCAGGTACCCTGCGATGTGTATAGCAGCCCTGTACACAAAACGGTTGTCGTACCCAAAATACTAATATCCGCCCCCATCGAGAAGCACTGGAACAGCTGCAGGGAAAAATCACGATGGCAGTGTTGTACCTCATACTGTCTTTAATGAAACTAGAAAAATTGATTATTTTCGAATCTGTTTCTATACTTGCTCATTTCCCCCTCAATCAGACACCAGGGGCTTCTTGGTAAGGGTTGAAGGGGCATTAGAAGGCAATGCCCAGAGGCGCCTGGGTGGCTCAGTCAGTTAAGCGTCCGACTCTCGATCTCAGCTCAGGTGTTGATCTCAGGGTCGTGAGTTCAAAAAAAAAGGCAGTGCCCAGAGGCAGCACCTCAGACCCGAGGTTCCTTCCTCCACAGGAATTCACAGTTGCCCTCGGGAGTTCCACAAACCTCCTTTCTGATTTTGCCTTACTTAGAGATGTGCTAGAAGACATGCGCTAACCTCTCTGTTTCTTGTTTTACAGCATAAAAATCAATGTCTTTTCATTTCCAAATACTTCGTTAGCCTTTGTGCCTGGGGTGGGAATCAAGGCCCTGACCAACCACGGCACTGCCAACATCAGCACCAACTGGGAAATCAAGTCTCCGCTCTTGTGAGTATTCCACTCAATGCTGTCTGCGGCTCTTCTGGGGAGAAATGGAACCAAAATTGAAAGTCCAAAAATTTGCTGATGTTTTTGACATTAGGCTTCTTTCCCTCAGTCACTAACAGTCTTTCTCGAGAGTACTTTTTTCCAGGAGAGATTTAAATCAGGATATCTCTGCTGGGGGTTGGGCAGGGGAGGAGGAGGGCTGAAAAGCATCCTTCCCTTAAAGGCAGAGCAAAATGTCATTTAAGATTTCCTAAGAGTGGGCGCCTGGGTGGCTCAGTTGGTTAAGCAACTGCCTTCGGCTCAGGTCATGATCCTGGAGTCCCGGGATCGAGTCCCACATTGGGCTCCCTGCTCAGCGGGGGGTCTGCTTCTCCCTCTGACCCTCTTCCCTCTCGTGCTCTTGGTCTCTCATTCTTTCTCTCTCAAATAAATAAATAAATCTTTAAAAAAAAAAAAAAAAGATTTCCTAAGAGCTGGAAGTCCCTGACTGTTGGAGGAACGAACTCATGCTCAACATTTTAGACCTTCAATGAGTCACTGTATGATCTTGGGCCATTCCACATGCTTCCCCATCCTCAGGGGCAACTGATAGGAAATGGGCCTTCCTACCTCACAAGGAGATTAGAGGATAATAGTCAGCTGGAGCCCAATTCTCTCCCTACCAGAAGGCTTTTGCACCCTCCTAGAGAAACGAGGGATCAAATTCAAGTCACACTTACAGACCACCTACTACGTGCAAGTCACTGTCCTGGGTGTAATGTTTAGGTCTGCCTCAGTTGGTTCCCCAGAAAGCACATCCACTCATCCACTTGGTCATTCAACAACCATTTATTGAGTGCCAACCAAGTACCATTTATCCCCATCTCAAGAACTCCAGACCTGTACACTGTAGAGAAATTATATATTCTCCCATAAATAACATAGATTCAGGTATTCATTCATTTCTTTGCTGACTCATCAGCCACATATTAAGTGCTTACACTATGTGCTCATCCTGGGGGTGTGGAGACAAACAACAGACACTCCAGTCCCTCAAAGAGTTCACAGACTGCATCTAAGTGTCTCGTCCCCATCTGTGCCCATCCTAAATAAGGCTACCCCATGTTCTCTCTCCACGTGAGCATCACATATGAATGGTGCTTAATACATGCTCGGCCACTATGGGGGCCAGAGCACTCAGGATAAAAAAGCTAAGCTAAAGCTGTCACCTAGCCACATACTCATTGCTTCATTTGTTTGGTAAACACTCAGCACGTATTCTGCTCCTACCTCTTGTTGGTGCCAGGAATCCAGAGGTGACAGAATTCTTGCCTACAGGAGCTTATAGGCTGTGGAGAGTCAGAGAAATGATCCATCTCACCCCTGCCCAGGCCTGGGTAACCTTGCACTTTTTCCTCTCAACAGTCAAGACACAGGAGGAGCTGATCTGTTTCTCTCTGGGGTCTACTTCACCGGTATCATTGTCCTGGCCCTCAGTGACTTCGGTCACCCAATCCTGAAGCTCCAAGACTGCTACGCCCAAGTGAGCCATGCCCATGTGTCATTTTCGGGAGAACTCAGGTGAGTGGCAGCGCCATGCTGGGCAGTTGCTGGTCTGGGGCTGGATTCTCCGGCAGAGCCCGAGGAGGTTCACGACTGGCAGATACAGTTCCTGAATAAGCCCGTTTCTTTCTCTTTTTTTCCCCAGTGTCCTGTACAACTCCTTTGCTGAGCCCATGGAGAAACCTATTTTAAAGAACTTAAATGAAATGGTAAGTCTTCAGAAGTGATGCAACCACAGTAAAATGCTCAGCGGTTCTGCCATGCTTTACCTAGTTCTTAGTCAATAAACATTTATTGAGCACCTGTTGTATGCTAGGCATCATCCAAGGCACTTTCACACACATTATCCTTTGCAACTTACTAAGTTTTGCAAGTGCCTGCCATGTGCCAAACATTCTGCTAAGTGCTGGGGATGCAGAGATGAATGAAACAGCATTCCCTACCTCAAGTGCTCAGCACAGGATGGGCAAACAACCAACAAGAGTTTATTGCATACCTACTGCATGCCCAGCCCTAGGCTACAGGCTGTTGGGGATATAAAATAGGAATAAACTTATTATCTTTTTAGGAAAACCCAACTCAGGCTTGTGGAACAATAACTGAATGAGTATTTGAATTTAATGCATAACTACATGATCATTAGACTGAACCGAAGGGGTTCAGAGAAATGGAAAGATTCAATCAAAACGGCCTAAAATAACCCAAAAGGGATATTTTTTAGAGGATGTAGGACTTGAACTGGGCCTTGAAGTATAAGTACGACTTTGATAGGTAAGAAATGGGGGAGAAGAAAGGATGTTTCCAGAAACAGTATAAGTTAAGATAGCTTCCAAAGTTACAAGTGTCTCAATTCCAGAAATCAGTGTTTGAGGAAGGGGAGAGATGGATTTGGCTGTGCGCCCTCTTTCCAGTCCAGGCCAGACCATCGCTGGACGCCTTACCCATATCTGGGGGGAGACAAGGAAAAGGATGAGGAGTGGAAATGAAAGGGCAAGAACAGTATCTGGAAGCCTCCATCCCCCTCATGCTTGGCAGGCAGTGCTTGATGAACGTCAGCGTCAGTGAGGAAATCAATACGCAAACACACTCAGCAGCTTGTCCGAGGAGGTGGCCGGCTGGTCGGGGGACTCCAAGGTTGCACGGACTTTCTCCATCCTCACCTGGCAGGTGCTGAGGGCCGGTGCACCTGCGTGTCAGAGAGTGACAGGGAAAGCACTGTAGGCTCGGGGACCCCACACTCGCCATCGCTCCGCTGCTGGAAACCAGGCGTGGTTCTCTGGGCTCTGACAGGAAGCCACTAGCTAAGTTTGCTGGGATTGTGTATAGGACTTAGAGACCATGGACGCTTTGCTTCTAGTACTCCCTCTGTGCCGTGGGAAAACAGAAAAGAGTGCTCAGACCACAACTATCTATTCTAAGTCCTGGTTATATAACTCCTGGCAACTCGCTAAAGCTCTCTAAGCTTCAGTTTTCCCATCTGTGAAGGCGGGACAGTGGTGCCCACCTCTCAGCGCCGTCGTGAGACCAAAATGGGGTTAAAATAGACAGCTGACGTTTACTGAATGCTTGCTATGCGCGGGCAATTTTACATGGATTACTTCTATTTCTACTCACAACAACATAATGAAGTGGGTACCGTTATCCTCCTCGTGTTGCAAATGAGGAAACTGAGAACAGAGTACAAATCACGTGCCAAGTCAACCCGAGGCGGCCAGGCTCCCAAGCCTCTGCTGGTAACCACCATGCCGAGTGCTTAGCACACGCCTGGCACACGGTGGCCCACCCATGTCGGCACGCCTCCTCCTTCCTACAGACAAGCTCGAGTCCAATCAAGATTGCTTTTCTAACTCCAGAAGGGGTTCTGATCTAAACAGATGTCTGACTACTGGGCTCTCAAGCCAGCCAAGGGGGAGAGCGAAGGCCCGGCTTGCACCTTCCCAGCAGAGCATGGTGCCGCCACAGAGGAGGCGGGAGGCGGTGGCGTCCCCAGCCGGCAAGGGTCCAGCAACAGGTCCTCAGGGGTGACCGCACCAGATGCACCGGGCACGTGTCCTGTCACACCACAGAAAGAGAAGCCGAGGGCTCCTTCTTTCATGGGGCTAACTGGGTGTAGTCCCGGTTGCTCTGAAGTTTAGCCAGCATTCAATGACACACCACCCATACGTACAGAACATGGGGTCCATAGGCATTGACAAATTTCAGGGAAAGTCCTGGTGACCAAAGGGAGAATGGCTCCTAACCAGAAGGCCTTTGTTTGCAGGTCTAGGCCCCTAAATAGAGGTTTCAAGTGCAATGTGATAACCTGAAATTTTTTAAAATTCTTTTTATGGCCAGCTCTGTCCCATTATCATGAGTGAGGTGGAAGCCCTGAACGCCAATCTCAGCATGCTAGAAGGTGAGTCCTAGAACTGCCCCTTCAGGATGGTTCTCTTCCCGCCTTCAAACTCTGGTGCTCTCTAGGTTTGCTTTTCAATGTGAGGTAGCCCAGCTCTTCTCCCTGCTCTACTCTCTGCAAACTAGAGCCATGGGAAACACCAGCTCTGGCACTAAATCTATCCTCTTCGGGATGATTCATGCTAATCTCAAGCAAGTTAGCCCCTTCCTCCCCCTGTTCTAACCCCTTCAGTGGCTCCTTGCTGCCTCAGGATCAAGCCCAAATGCTTTCTCATGGACTACAAGACCTGCCCACCATGCTCTGGCTCAACTCACCTCTCTCAGCCTCATCTGGCACTTTTCTCTGCCCCAGCAGTGAAACTGCTTCTGCTGTCCCCACACCCGTTGCTTGGCTCATGCTGCCCTCCCTGCCTAGAAGAGCTTCCCCTCTCCTCCACCCATTTATCCATTTAATAGATACTTATTGAATACCTATTTCTTCGCCAGCACTGTGCTAAGCCCTGAAGGGTCCAGTCCCTTCCACTTCCTACCCCTGAGCCATCCCTTGTCCTGTCCATTGCTCATTATCTTTTAAGACTCAGCTCAGGTATAGTCTCATCCAGGAAGTCTTACCTCATAGTCTGCACTCCAAAGTTTTGCCTCCTCTGTGCTCACCTGATACTTTGGATGTCTCTCTCTCTCTCCATTCCATTCATTCATTCACCTAAGGTGTGCTGACAACCTGTAAGAGGCTTGGTGCTGGGAATGCAGCAGTAAGCCCAGGAGACAGAAATCTCTGCCCTCATGGGACTAGTCAGAGGAGACAGACAGCAAGCAAGATAATAAGTAAAATCTATGATACTGATGTGATAAGTGGTAAGAAGAAAGATAAAGTAGAGAAGAAGCTGGGGAGGTGTTTCTGGTAAAATAGGATGGCCAGGAAAGGCACCACTGAGCAGGTGACATTCCAGTATGAACTTGAATGGAACAGGGTGAGGGGCACTCCTAGATCTGGACGAAGAACACTCCAGGTACAGGAAACCACAAGCTCAGAGGCCCATGTGGGAACATGCCAAGTATATTGGAGGGACTATGAGGAGGGCATCCTGGGAGCAGAGGATGTGAGGGGGAAGGCAGCCGGAAATGAGGTCAGGGAGGAGGAAAGCAACAGTCAGATCTTCAGGGTTCTGCAGGTCAGTACAAAGGCTGGCTCTTAGTCTGAGAAGAGAAGTCTTCAGAGAGTTCTGAGCAAGGCTTGCATGATCTGACTTATGTTGTAAGGAGATCAGTCTGGCTTCCATCCGTTAACAATAGACAGAAAGGGGGCAAGGGTAGAAGCAGGGAGACCACATAAGAGGCTACTGCAATGACCTGTGCGAGCAGTGATGGCAGTTGGCCTGGATGGAGTGATGGAGATGGCAAGACATGCTCAGGTTCTGGATGGACCTTGAAGGGAGAGACAGTGTTATTTGCTGACACACTGAATGTGGGTCATGAGGGAAATCTAGGATGACTCCAGGTTTTCACCCGAGCAACTAGAAAATTGGAAGAATGGAGTTACCATTTACCAAGATGAGGAAGACTGTAAGACTGTAGAAGGACCATCAGGAGCTCAGTTTTAGACCTACTCTTATTACACTGTATTATAATTTCCTGTTCATATGTCTGACTCTTCCTCAGGCTATGAGTCCCACAAGCACAGGGCCTTTGACCATGTCCCCAGCACCAGGCACAGTGCCTAACCCACACTAGGTGAATGAATATTGGGTCGATGAACGGTTGCACAGTGCCTGGACAAGTGGATTGGGCTGGGTGTGGGTAGACGAAAAAAGAACAGATTGGGGAGGTAGGGAAAGAGAAAGATGTAGTAAGGAAAGAACTGGTCAGGGAGTCCTGAGTTCTAGGTTGCCATGGGCAAGTTTCTCTACCTGTGGGAGCCTCCCTCGCTCACCTGTAAAACGGGCGCGGTCCTGCTCCCCTCACAGTATGGTGATGGGATCTGTTCAAACTGTGAATTTGAAAGCATTTTAAAAACTATAGTGACATAGGGCAGTATTGTTCCCTCACCTGGGCAAGCCCCTTCATCTCTTCTTGTTCCTTATCACCGTCTGTGGAATAAACCAAGCATGGCGTGCAAGAGGAGAAGGTGTGCTACTCAGATGCTTTGCTCTGGAACAGCGGGGAGGTCCTCATATCACAGAACACATGGCGCTGGTCAAGAAAGCAGCTCTCCCAGGCCGGGTCGGACTCCTGAGCACTGCACCCCTGCACGTACAACCTGCCTCAGACTCTGAAATCATGCTTCCTGCCAACCCCATCTACTGTCCCCCGGCCCCCTGGCCTCCTGCTGTGCTCTGAAAATGATAATACCAAAACAGAATTGAATTAATAGACTGTGCATGAGAATTTTCTTGGCCTGTTTAACTTAGGGAATTTTATTCCTGTCTGTCTCTCTCAACATTTCTTTTTAAAAATTATTTCTGGGGTGCCTGGGTGGCTCAGTCATTAAGCACCTGCCTTCGGCTCAGGTCATGATCTCAGGGTCCTGGGATCAAGCCCCATGTCGGGCTCCTTGCTTGGCGGGAAGCCTACTTCTCCCTCTCCCACTCCCCCTGCTTGTGTTCCCTCTCTCTCTGTGTCTCTCTCTGTCAAATAAATAAATAAAATCTTTAAAAATAAATAAAAAATAAAAATTATTTCTAATTATAACAGTAATACATACTCACTGTAAAAAATTAAAGCTCTAACTATATAGAAGGCCATAACATAGAGCTTGAAAGTGTCTCGTTACACCAACCTAATATATATGTGGTTTATATGTGGTTTAATATTAATATATGTGGTTTAATATTAATACGTGAGTTTTGTTTGTCTAATTTTCTTTTTAAAAAAGTAGATATGAATTGTGTTTGTGTGTGTGTTTGTCTATACATAAAAGGCTATACAACAAAATGTTATTGATGTTTCCCTCAGTGTAATGTGATTAAGAAGGGTTTTTAATTTCTTCTTTTGACTTACCTACTTATCCTGGGTTTTGAAAAGTGTATTATTTATAAAATAAGATTAATTGTTATTTTAAATAACAGAGAATTAAATTATATTGCTCTGCATAGATAATAGTCAGATGCTATACTATGCCTTTAATAAATACAAATTTTCATTTTTATTTGTTTGTTATTTAGTTTTAACCAAGATTGACAACTATATTCTGCTGGATTATTCCCTATTCAGTTCTCCAGAAATCACTGAGAATTATATGGAGCTGAATTTGAAGGTAACTTTATCATCACCAAATTCTCATCCTGGCTATCAACAGCCAGTATTGGAAGAACAAATATTAGATGCAGAAGGAAATAAAACTACGTACCCTTCAAATAATTTAATGTCCTTTCAAGCAATTCCCTCATGCTTATGCTCTTTGAAAAGACCCTTCAAGGGCGCCTGGGTGGCTCAGTTGGTTAAGCGACTGCCTTCGGCTCAGGTCATGATCCTGGAGTCCCGGCGGGCTCCCTGCTCGGCAGGGAGTCTGCTCCTCCCCTCTGACCCTCCCCTCTCTCATTCTCTCTCAAATAAAATAAATAAAAATCTTTAAAAAAAAAAAAAAAGAAAGAAAAGACCCTTCAACATTTTCTTGATTGGTAAAGGATGGTTTGGATTTGCCCAACATAGGACTGCCTTCCTCAAGGAAAGTATTGTGATAACTGTGTCTCTGGGGATAGGTCTGAGGCTAAGAGGTAGCATGGCTCTGCATATATTAGAACTTAACACATCAGTAGATTGTCCATATCGATACTCCTGTTCCTGTCAGATTAGCCAATTTAACTGAGGGCTGTTGACCTCGGTCAGGGCCATTTGCATATGAAAATGGTGTTTGCTAATTCTGGAAAAGAGATTAATTGTCTTTATGTTTAGTTTTGCCCCGAAGTTATTATCATTGTTTTTTTAAGTGCATATTGACTTATATTTCTTTTTTTTTTCCAAGATTTTATTTATTTATTTATTTGAGAGAATGAGCATGAGCTGGGGAGTGGGGGCGCAGAGGGAGAGAGAGAGAAGCAGACTTCCCGCTGAGCAGGGAGCCCACTGCAGGGCTCAATCCCAGGACTCTGGAAACATGACCCGAGCCAAAGGCGGACACTTAACCTACTGAGCCACCCAGGTGCCCCTGACTTATATTTCAATCAATTAGGGTCTTTCAAATCAGTTAAATATTACTCAAGACACCATTTTGTAATAACACCCTCTAGCCACTGAGGGCAACACAGATGCTCAGGAGCCACAGAATTTGAAGATTAAGGGTTTGGCATCTCTACATGGCACCTCAGGAACTATGCAGAGCTGTGTGTCCAGTTAAAATGCACCTGCCTTCTGAGAGGTTACACCCCAGGGTGGACAGACACGTCTACATATGCTCAAGAACTCATCAGAGCTGCAAAACCAGAGTCCCTGGTCAAGGAGTCAGAAGGCCCTGTAGTCTTTTAGTCCCTCCTGAGTTTCTGGTATTTTCCTGATTCTGACATGAGCAGATCCACCTACGTAGTGCTGTACACCCATGTCTTGATCTGATGCACTGATCTTTGTTTTCCCACAGGGCGTATTCTACCCACTGGACAACCTCACCGATCCCCCCTTCTTGCCAGTTCCTTTTGCGCTGCCAGAACGCCATGACTCTATGCTCTATGTTGGAATCTCTGAGTTTTTCTTTAAATCCGCGTCCTTTGCTTACTTTACATCTGGGGCCTTTAACGTCACTCTCTCCATGAAAGAGGTGAGGAGAGTTCATGGAACAATCAGCACCAGCATTTAGTCTTATTATAAGTAGCCCATTATGGGAATTTTATGTCATAGTTTCTATTTCCTGGGCCTTTTTAGACTATCAACCCCAGCAGGACATGAATAAAGGAATTGTGAACTGAATGCTGTTATTAGCTGGGGAGTTGTTGGGTCTCTGGGTCTGCTAATTTCAGTTGTATAGGGTACCGGGCCACTGTTCTAGATTGATCTTAAGTAATGCCAAGACTTCCCTCCACCACTTATGACCTGTGACTTTGGGCATCTTCAATTTATTTAACTTCTCTGTGCCAGAGTGTCATCATTTGGAGAATGAGGATAATAATTCCATACTCATGAGGTTGATATGGACATTAGAGAGGTTTAAATATATGTAAAGCATTCAGAGCAATGCCTAGCACAGAGTAAGTGTTAAGTGTTGCTTATTATCATTATTATTATTATTATTATTATTATTATTATTATTATTATTATTATGCCTTGTGTCATGCCAACACAAACATTTCTCCTGTTGGTAATTGCAACTGACTTATCTACAATGACCAGTAATAGGACACATAGTCATGGATTCTCTTGCCATGCCCCTCCCTTTTATGATGAGAACACTCTCTCCAGCCAGTCAACCAACAACTTTTATTAAGCATCCCCTATTAATCTTTCCATTCCATGGATCTTAATTGTACAAGTGGTTATAAAATGTAGGTTCAAAATATGAGGTGTGGCAGCACCAGCTACCATAGACTGCCGAGAATTAGAAAGGTCTAGCTTCAGATTTGGAAACCATTCATCTGTGAAGATAAATTACTTAAGCATCCCTTGTCTTGTAATCTCTGAAAAGGTGGGCAATAATGCAAGACTTATTGTTAACCACTGTAGGATGGTTACATGGATCATACATATACGACATACACAATATTGCTAGGGTTAAAAGGCACTTACTAAAAAGGAAGGTATTTCCTGTGTGACTTTGGGCAAGTTACTTTACTTCTCTGGGCCTCAGATTTCTTATGGTTGGGCTATAAAATGATAGGCCACCTTTAAACCCTAATTGTCTGTTGGTGTAACAACTTCATGATTCATAAAAATATAAGGAAAGCTAGGTTTTCTCTGAAAAGAAAGCCCAGGTAAAAATCTTACAGTGACATGATGGTCTTGATTTTCCAGCTTTCCAACCATTTGGTTCAAAACTCTCAAGGCCTTGGCAACGTGCTCTCCCGGGTGAGTACTGAGGGTCTGACTGCTTGTTAAGTGTATCTGGATTCATTGCAATTACTTCTGGAAGATTTGTGGGGTTTTTTCTACTCCTTTTTGGTCCAAACCTGAGTCCATCTTTCCATTCTAAAGAGATTTTTTTTCTTTTTCTTTTTTTTAAGATTTATTTATTTTAGAGAGAGAGAGAGAGCAGGGGGGAGGGATAGAGGGAGAGGGAGAGAGAGTCTTAAGCAGACTCCGTGATGAGCACTAGCCTGATGTAGGGCTTGATCTCACCACCCTGAGATCGCGACCTAAGCGGAAACCAAGAGTCAGACACCTGACTGTGCCACCCAGGGCCCCAAGATTTTTTTTCTTTTAATAAAATAGCCACAAATATTTACTAAACAAGTTACTATTAAAGGCATTTTAAGTTTACAAAATAAGTCAAGTGTCCCTTCCCTAAGGTTCCACCACACATTTGAAATAATAAACTTCCATGGGAAATGGGGGAATAGTGCCTATGTTTGTGCCTTTAGTGAAGCAACTATTAATGTCATGCCCTCACAGCACCTGAATATTGGACAGTGTCCTGAAAGGCTCAGGTTTGCTCTCGAGGACAGAGAGATGCTCACTGAGGATCCTGGTTTTAGAGCAAGGATCTAGAGTCAGACAGACCTAGATTTGAATCCCAGTTCCTCAACTTATTCACCCGGAAGTGAAGGAAATTATTTAACCAAAGGACTCACTGTCTTCAGCTGTGAAATGGGGATTCTTTTTTTTTTCTTTTTCTTTCTTTTTTTTTTTTATTCATGAGAGACAGAGTGAGAGAGAAAGGCAGAGGGAGAAGCAGGCTCCCCGCGGAGCAGGGAGCCCGATGCGGGACTCGATCCCAGGACTCTGGGATCATGACCTGAGCTGAAGGCAGACGCTTAACCGACTGAGCCACCCAGGCATCCCTGAAATGGGGATTCTGATAGAACCTGCCCACAGGGATTTAGTGAAGATTAAACCAGATAATTTGGATACGTTCAGTGAATGTCAGCTGTTGTTATTATTTGTCTTGTGTGTGGTGATGGTGTTAAAATGGCCAAAGAGCTTTGTTTCTATTCTGACCACACGATGTAAGGTTTAATCACCCAGGCCACCCCAAATGTGTGATTTCCCCTCATAAACTCCCCTTCCTGGACTCCACTTCTTTCCCTGAACATCGCAGATTGCAGAGATCTACATCTTGTCCCAGCCCTTCATGGTACGGGTCATGGCAACGGAGCCCCCTGTGATCAGCTTGCAGCCGGGTAGCTTCACCCTGGACATCCCTGCCTCCATGGTGCTCCTCGCCCAGACCGAGAACTCGACCGCTGAAGCCATCATGTCCATGGACTTTGTAAGGCCTGCAGGGGCAGGAGGGCACCCTGTGGACG